CTGGGTAGGCCTCTGCTTATTTGCAAACAATAGCTAATTAACCAGCAATCAACAGCAAGTAACTAGCTTAATCAAATCAAATGCCTTATAATTACCAACAGGAATTCAAACCTTGGGCAATCAGTAACCTTTTCCTACAGATGAATCTTACCTGTAACAGTAGAAAAGAAAGCTCTTAGCACAACTCTTAGACAGTTTAAGCTTCTGTAAAACTCTCCAGAATATCTCCAACTACACACTTAGAAACAGCACTTAGAAGTAGCACCAAGCTATTCACTTGGAATTCTCATTTCAGTGAATGACCCCATCAGTTGTCCGCGTAGACATGGGATTACGGGGATCATTTTATTTTAGCACAGGTAGCGAAGGAGTTAAACATTTGGTCCAAACAACGTTTTTGCTTTTAGTGCAGCTCTGATTTGCGTGAGAATATTCTTCATTTATGTAATTTTACTGACTGCTTAATGAGCACTTGTTGCTGATGAATATTTAAATGTCCTTGAGATTGGAGCTCTGAAGCATGATGGCATCAACTCTAGAGGAAAAGGTAATACAAGGTTAACGTATTCGAAAATTTAAGTGTAGAAGGTATATGGTCCTACCTTTTAATCACAGGAAAACAAAAAATACTGAGAATGTTTCTCAAAACATCAAACGCAGGTCAACAGCTGCAGCACCATCTAAAACCACTTCAATGTAGAGAGTTCTGTGATATAAATTACATGTATTGTAGTGTTTCTATTAGGAGATGCGTTACATTGTTCGCATGGTATTACAAAGACATTCAATGCTCGGTAACTAGACACTTTGCAGCAGCGACAGATTGTGATGAAGGATTCTGTTATGCAAAAAAATAAACCTCATTAAAGTGCACCTGTCTCGGTACACAAAACGTTATCAGTAAAAGAGGGTAAAAAAATCATCTACATCATTAAAAGCAACGTGACAATATTGTCCCTCTCCATTATGTTTCGGCCAATCCTCGACGATGACAGTTGTGTTGATGGTGTAGTATGTATGCAGAGAATTGAGCGATACAAGAGGACAGAGAACACATGCACGCATCTACCAAACCTAGAGAATCAATTGAGCTTGAAAGGAAAACACCACATTCATGGCTAGCCTTACTTAAAATGCACTAAAGTAAAATCTCAGCCAATTACAAACTAGCCATTCAAACATATTAATTCTCCATTATAGTATAAAGTATTATAAAGTATGCTCCCGCCTATCTATCCTCCCTTATACACAAGTATGTCCCGTCTAGGCCCTTACGATCTGCTGAAGACTTACGTCTATCTTCTGCCCGTACTCCCACCTCTGATACTCGCCTTCAAGATTTCTCGAGGGCTGCACCGTTCCTGTGGAACTCGCTTCCCTCCTCCGTTAGATGCTCACCCAGTCTCCACTCCTTCAAAAAATCGTTAACCCACTTCTTCATAAAAACGTATCAATTAAACTGTTAATAGCTGACTGATTCCTCTTCTGCAACTGTCATTAGTCTAATACTATCCTTACCTTTTTGTGTCATTTTACCCCACTCCCTCTAGCATGTGAGCTCATTGAGCATGGCCCTCAACCCCTCTGTTCCTGTGTGTCCAACTTGTCTGGTTACAACTACATGTCTGTTCATCCATCCATTGTAAAGCGCTGCAGAATTTGACGGCGCTCTATAAATATCATAATAATAATAATAATAAATCTAAGAGGGATACCTTGCCCGTGTTAATTTTGTGCAAACAAGAGATTGTGGTTAAGGAGCAGAGGATGTTATCAAGATAGGAATAGGGAGAGATCCAAGAAAGACAGAGGACACATGATTGAGTGTGGTGATCTAGACACAGTCCAACTTGAGCATATCTGCCACCTCACTGAAAATAATGAATATTTCATGAACATAGACTCTGAATTGAGTTTCCAACACAGTCAAAATATATCATAATACAAATAAGAACTAATTAGTCTTAAAGTGATAGTTCCCGTAGCTTTGTGTTAGTATATTTGTATAAGGATATATTCCAGGGCCAATGGGGGTCCCGAGCATGCAGCCCTTCTGGAACCACAGGTCCTGCTGAAGCTCCACAGACAGCCAGCCTGCCAGATGGACTCTGATGAATTTAACCATTACAAGTTAAACATGTTTCTTCATTTGGAAAGAGCCCTCACCAGGCCCCATCCACAGGTGAACTCCTCAGGGGGTTATCCTTTGCAGCTTGCCATTTGTGGCGATCTAACTATTAATATAGTACCTAAACCTATTTTGGAAGACTGATGAACTATACAAATACACAGTTTATTAATATTGGACACTATTCCTCCCCCACTCCCCTTTTTTTCTTTATTTCCATTTTTCTGTTTTTTAATGTTTTGGGGGGTGTTTTCGTGGGGATCACCAACACCTCCAGGACTATAAGGTGTCTATACAACCTTTAATTATGACAAACCTTGAGAATGAAATACGTGTATGGTAGAGGTGTGTTTAGTCATTAGGATCATGTTGTCTCATGTGGATGATGGTATTCCATTTCTGATTTTCCTGGCTATTTTTCATACATTTCGGATTTATTTCATATGACTGAGCTATGGTAACTCTGCTAATTTACGTACTTGATTTTGTATGATTACATTAGGTGATGTTTTTTATGTTTGTTTTTTTGCACGTCTGCATAATTTTTTGTGTTCATTCTCTTATTGTTGTTGGCGAACAGCTGAATTATAGATATAACACAATTAAAAATATAACTTTAGGTATTGCAAATAATCTGAGTGTGGTATTATTTGTATATTTGTTTTAGGTATAGAAAAATAAAAGACAAAATCCCAGTCACCTACCCTGCTGGAGGGGGTGAGTGGGAAAGACTACAGCCTAAATGGAATAGTAGCTAAACCAAAAGAAAGTAAACCCAACCTTAATTATCAACCAGAAGCTTGAGCTACTAAATCCACAAAGGGGACCCTTGTATAGGAAATATATGGTGTCTAAGAACACACCCCTCCCGGAGCCTTTGGAACTCTGATCACGCCCCCCAATTAGCAGATTGGTCGAGAATCGAATGTGTACCGCCCCTTGATCGGGTGTTTCGGATGTGGCTAATTTAGACTCTGGTATTTAAGTAAGTACTGACAGGGGACTGGCTGCTTTGCCCCTGACGACGGCGTTATCATACGCCGAAATGCGCGTTGGGCGTTTTGTCATGTTTACTTTTTTGCATGTTGTGCACTTTGCACTTTATGTTTTGAGCCTTTCTCTTGAGGGTTCTTGGTTTAGGTAGGCACTAGCCTAGTGCGGTGCCGAGGTATATTAGGGACAGACTAGCTGTGGTTGTGTGTTGATTTGTTTTTTGGGGGGACTTGATGGGTTTTATTTTTGTAGCTGTTGTGCTATTGTTTCAAGCCCCCATTGGGAGTGATTCCCTTGGGCGGGCCTTTTACTATTTGGATACAACTTTTGCTGTGTTCCCGCCTTCCCCTCCCTCCTCGTCTTTGACCCTCTATCCTGACTTGGTTGATAGGAGGGGTTTTCTTCACACAGTAGATATACCCCTGGCCTTGTCTGTCCACGTATTCACATATATACTTTAGACCTGGTTCTTAGACACTCTATATTTCCTATACATGGGTCACTTTGTTGATTTAGTAGCTCAAGCTTCTGGTTCATAATAAAGGTTGGGTTTATTTATTTTTTTGGTTTAGCTACTATTCCATTTAGGCAGCACTCTTTCCCACTCACCCCCTCCAGCAGAGTAGGTGACTGGGATTTTGTCTTTTATTTTTCGATATTAAGTGTGTAAGGGTTATCCCCTTAGGAGTGAGTACAGCCTTGGTGACCACTTTTCTCGATAGGTGATGTGACTGGGTGATTTTCTCTTGCCCCTTTGGTCACATCGGTTGGCAGAACATCATGTGGCCACATCCTCCTGTCATCCGCCATTTATTGGTTCTTGTTGTAAGTATAATTATCCTCCACTGTTACCCCAGGCCTCAAAAACCCAAGCAGACATGTCTTTAAAAATTTAAGACCCTGACACTAACAGAACCATTTCAAAACATACACTACATTCAAATGCAATGGCTATTCTTTGGATAGGCAGAAGCAGGAAGCTGTGAACTGTATCAAAGTAAGCTGTAGGTCCTTCATGGCTATCATGAAAAAGTGGATATACTGGATGTGTGAAGTCCAGCAATAGAGAAGAAAATGATCACTGCATTCCAGAATCTCTGATGGGAGTCAACCCAGCCGTTACGGACTATAATGAGAAGGAAGAGATGATGAGAAGCAAATTTTCCCATGTGGAGAAATATGTGTGAGTTTTGTTCACTGTGGTATTTGTACCTTTTTTCGTAGTGATCTTGTGAGTTCATGTAATGTCTAATGTCCTGTGTGTTTTGGGAAAAAATTATTCAGTCGAACCAAACTTTTCCATCGTGTACAAGTCTAGCTTACTCGAGCTAAACCAGACTATGCGCTCACAGGTACAGTCCACGTTTTGGTTTGTGGACAATGGACAGGGTACAGATGGACAGAATGTGGAATGTGTTGTATAATAGCAAAGAGGCATGGTCAAGGACTGATAGAGCTGGAGAAAGACAACAGTGAGTCATGACCACATGCTTCCTTCAGAACACGCAAAACGTGGTGCTGCATCATTATCCTTTCATAGGCCAGCACTGACATCTTTCATTTCCTAACCTGGAACACCTGTCATTGCTTATCTATTTGTAAAGCTACAATCTCATTCCTCTCTGCTAAATAAACATATTAGTGATTTGAGAATTCTCAAGACGTTCCAAGCCTTGTAGTGTTACAATCTGGAAATATAATAATTTTATTGTCATTTGATAAATCCCAAGATATCTTATGCTTAGAAGGTGAAACATATTTATTTTATGCTGGTGGACAGACAGGCCCTTAATGCTGTCACTCAACTTCTTCCCATCCCAATGTTAGATGATCTTTGCTTGTAAATTGAAGCACGTAAATGAGCAAAATGTAAAAAATTTTCCCATGTATTTTTTATTGAAGGTTTTCCAAAAGTTTAAATCAGTACTTAGTTGCCTCTTAATGTATACAATCAAGTAGTTAGTGAGTTACGAGGTAATACAATCGTACTCTAAAGTCGTACAATAACAACATCCGCTTCTATTTATAATTCAACATATTGACGTAGATAGTTTACCTTCATTTAGGTCTATGTTAACAACTCAAATCAACTCAACAAAGGTATATACACAAACAAGTAGGCAGGCAAACCAAGTTATGTCAGATCCGGTAATTTCTGTATACTCCGTTCCCTCCATGTCTATACAAATCCCTGTCTATGTTTCCATGGGCTATCTAGGTCCCCCTTGGCCCCTCTCCACTCCTCTCACCGTCCAGGGTGACTTTTCTCCCCATACCATGCCTCCCAAATCTCTAAAATTTTCCGTGGCCTTAGCGGTGTCGGTGGACCTTTTCTCGTATACATAAAATTGTTGTATTTTGTCTGTCAATTGTTGTATGGTTGGGAAACTATGTTTTTTCCAATTTAGTGCTATTAGGTTTCTAGCAGCCATTAGAACTATCAAAATTAATTGTTTGTGGTTCTGCTGCGTTGTTCTGGGGAATAACAGGAGTAAGCAGGTCGTTATGTTCATGGGGAAATCCCTAACTCCCAGGTCCCTTAATAAATTCTTAACATCTCCCCAGAGAGGTTGTATACCGCTGCATTGCCACCATATGTATGGTATAGATCCCTCTTCCATTTTTTAATCCCATTTAGGGCTTCATCCATTCGTCATCTGTCAATTCTTTCCGTCTCTCGTTCTCCCAGTTCTGTTTACATGCTAATGGTTTTCGGGGTGTTAATTCTAGCCATGCTTTATAGCAGAGTGAGAGGGCTTTGGGTTTCGTCAGAGCTGCCCAGCATCTGTGGGGTATAAGTCTTGCTGCTACTGTGGTTGTAGGCATGGTGGATGGCGTGTTTTTGACATGTGTGTTTATCGCATTTTTTAGTTGTAAGTAAGGGAAGATATCCCTCACTGGTACCCCCCATTTATCCCTTATATCCGGGAAACTCATGATTGATTGTTCTCTGCACAGCTGTTGGATTTGGGATATACCTAGGTGTGACCATCTGGCTAGGGGGATCGTGGGGTTCACTGCGTGGAGTGCATTTAGGGGAGCTTCAGGGTGGAAGTGTTTCTTCCAGCCAAAGAGGACATAAAGTCATCCCACACTTTGATCGTTGCAGTTGTGGTAGGATATAGGCTCATTTTAGGGCCCCTCAATGTTCTCGGCGTCCACATGTAATTAAGCAGTGAGGTTTGACTAAGTTGGTCTTGTTCCATATCTACCCACTGTGTTACTCCCTGCTGGGCATGCAGGTGTATGCTCGTTGCTAGGATAGAGGCTTTATAGTATAATCCAATATTGGGTAGGCCTATGCCCCCCATATTTGTTGTCCTTTGTAGGAAACTTAGAGGCAGCCTGGGTTTCTTACCTCCCCAAATGTAGGAGTTGCATATGGCTTGCAAAGATTTATAGATTACAGCCTGGATATCGATAGTGAGCATCCGAAATATATACAGTAGCCTTGGTAATAGCATCATCTTATATGCATTTACTCGACCCAACCATGACAGTTTCGCATTTTTCCATTTATGTACATCTGTGGTGCATAACTGTATGAGGGGTTTGTAATTGAGCTTCACTACGTTGCTAATAGGAGTGGCAATCTTAACTCCTAAATACGTTATGGACGTTGTCCGCCAGTCTAGTTCAAAGGAGGTTTTAAGGGTATTTACAGTAGGCCCTGGTAGATTTATCGGTAAGCGGTAGTATGAGATTCCGCCATAGTCTGTCAGTAATGTTAGTAGTGGGGGTAGTGATTGCTCTGGGTCCGAAAGTGCCACAAAGATATCGTCTGCGAACATCGCCAGACAATAGTCCCTGTCCTTTAATGTAATACCGGTTATGGCTCAGTGTCTTTGTATTTTCCAAGTCAACGGTTCTAGGGAGAGAATGTACAGCAAGGGGGACAGTGGGCATCCCTGGCGTGTCCCGTTTGTAATGTGAAAGGTTCGTGATAGGAAGCCACCATGGGAGACCCCAGCACTGGGTTGTGCGTACAATGCCAATATACCCCTGATGGTCTCTTCAGGGAACTGATATTTGGATAGTACCTGTGTCATATATTGCCAGTTTAGTCTATCGAAGGCCTTTTCAGCGTCCAGCGCCAGGAAAAGACCTCTGAGATGCTCCCTCTCCATCCCTGCTACCATGTTTAGTACCTTCCTTTAGTTATCAGAGCCCTGTCGGCCCCTCACAAATCCTGACTTATGCAGAAGATTTTGCATAGATTTTGGCATCGCTATTGAGCAGCGAAATGGGCCTGACATTTTAACAGTGATCTTTGGTTTTACCAGGTTTAGGAAGCATGGAGACATGTGCCATTGTTACTTCTTCTGGCAATGCTCCTTCCTTCATGCATTGGTTAAACATATCACCGAGAGGTTGAGCTAGGGCATTAATAAAGGTACGGTAGTATTTATTAGGTAGGCCATCAGGGCCCGGTGATTTGTTTAGGGGGAGTGTGGAGATCACCAAGGTGATCTCCTTTACTGTGAAGGGCCTACTAAGATGTTCCGCGTCCGTGTTGGATAAGGTCGGGAGGTCGACTCCTGATAAGAAGGCTTCAATTTCTGCTTTTGAGGGGCAGATCATCTGTCGGTTGTCTTTTAGATTATATAATTTTTTCATTTCATCGTCACGGACTCATCATTGAGTAAACTTTGACCCTGTACCTCACAGTCAGCAGACACATTCCAGCCAATCAGAAGCAGACCCTCCCTCCCAGACCCTCCCACCTCCTGGACAGCTCACTAAGAATACAGCTTCACAATGGATGCTGTTGCTACCCAACAGTTCGGGACATCACTACTTGTGGGTCTAAAATTTTGGTTCCCTTGGAACTTTTGAGGGAGGCAATCCTGGAGGTTGTAGTTCTCTGTTTTAATTGAGCAGCCAATCGTGCTCCTTCTTTGTTGCCCGCAGCAAAAAAGCTGTGTTTAAACCTGCGTGTAAGGAATGTCGTTTTGGCTAGTTCCAAATCTCTCAGCCGTGATTGTAAAAGCAGCAGTTTAGTATGGGTGGAAGCCGTGAGGGAGTGTTTGTTAGTGTGGGTTAGAGATGTTTATTCGGAAAGTATGGCCGTGTATGTTTCTAGTCGCTTCTTTTTTGCGTAGCTGGCATGCTTGATGAAGCAACCTCGTATGAAGCTATTCTCGAATAGCTGTTATGTGCTGCTGTGTGGCATGTATAGTCCCTTTCTGTAGGATGTGTGACTCGCCATGGGTCTGCGAGATTGTGTGATGTTAGTTTGTTGCAGATTTGTGTGGTTAGTTTGGACCTCCGGAGGCTGTCTAATAATAAATTTGTGTCACCTCCAATGATTACCTCCCCCAGTGCATGTGCAGACATCAATCCAAGCAGTACATCAGCAAAGTCACATTGGTTAGCAATAGGCCCATATACATTAATCAAGGTATAGACATTGTTATTCAGGGAGCATTGCAATATAAGGTATCTTCCCTTTTTATCCCCTATTTTACGTATTAAGGAGAATGCTACATCTCTGCTGATACTCCTCTCTTTTTGGTTGAATAGCATGAGTGGTAATCTATGGGGTACATTGGGGAGTTAAATTTGGGTATGTAGCCCCATTTAAAGTGCGTTTCTTGAAAGAACATTACGTGGGCACCCAACGATTTTGCTTCCCGTAGGGCTAGGCGGCGTTTATGGGGGGAATTCAACCCTTTAGCATTTAGGGAGCATATTTTAAGCACCATCTTGTGACCTCTCGGGGGCAGGTGGGGTGCCTTGCTTGTACTAGTCTCCCTACTGGGAGGCACCTGTATAGCTACCATGGCGGTGCCAAATGGTGTTGGGGACATGGGACTCACATTCCTTGGGGTCTGCCTTAAAAAGAAATAAAAAGGAGACAACAATACAATAACTGAACCAATAATCAACTATGTACAACATTCCGTTCACTGCGCCTCTGCGGGGCAGTGTTAGGTATAACGGTTTCTCTTGTGGCTCTGATCTGACAGCCACTTTGGGGGTGGGTATTAAAATCAAGAGCAAGGTTTTAACGGTAACAATTATTAAAGCAATTCTCAAGGGGCAAAATTGTAATTTTTAATTCATTTTATTTGTTCAATATTTTATTTTTACAGATTAACTGCATCCTTTGTTTACATTAACATTTCTTCATTTTAACGTGCAGTCACCTTAAAATACAAGGACCTCGTACAGTAGGAAACAAGAAAAACTATTACTCCAAACTTTTACTGTAAAGCCACTGCTAAGACCCTAAGACTCCCCTTTTTGGGGGATGTAGAAATGCAATAATGGTGGTTACTATAAAGGAAAATAAAATAAAATGGATCTAGGGCACAAAAATAATTAATTACAAATTACTGTCACCAACGTCCCCTTATTCTGCTTGAGAAAACAAAAATAGATAAACAGATAATAAAAGAGTTAATAAAAACTATGTATTAATTTTAATATTCTGCTTTCTATATGAAAACCGTCTCTCTCGATGGCTTATTTACTGTCCTAGTGCAATCATCTATTTTAATTCATATTTGTATGCACCTATTCTTCATTTCTATCCTTGAGCATAAACTGGCATTCTGCACCAGCCACCTTAAGTGCTAACCAAGTACTATAACCACTACACTAATAATATCTTCGACTCCTCCTATAGCCAAGTGTTCATCGTATCTCATAGTAATGGTTATCATGGGGTCAGCAGAAAGAGCAGCAGTTTAATTGGTGCTTGAAAACAACTTGACAAAAAACAGAGGGGCTTTAGTCATATAGCCCAGGCAACATAACTACTACAAAAAAAACTTAAAAGGGCTGCCTATAGGGCTCTGGTGGCGGTTTGACTAAAGGATATTGGCATCTCCATCCAGGAGGTCATTCTAAAAGGTAGTGGATAATTTTCTCATGGATAAATTAACTGTGATAGTTTCTAATACCTTCTTTTGCTTCTGACAAGCATGGGGTCCATGGCTGGGTTGCATCCCAATGGTGTTCACCTCCACCTTGTCTTACCCTTCTCATTTTCTCTTACGTATTTTTTTTTATTTTTTTTTCACTGACTGTAATTTAAATTGAGAGGTGCCATGCTCTTATCGATGTGCTTTATCCGTGCTCTATGTCTCCTAAAATTATTTAAGAACAAAAAAACTGTAGAGGGTATAGTGTTTGGAATGTCCTTTCAGGATTATTACCAGAGAAGGACTGAGAGAAGGCTAATAAAGTTAGATATAGTCTAAATAAATGTATTTAGGGAGAAATATACAAGTGTTGTATTTCTGAGAAAAAGTTCCAAAGATGTGAAATCACCAAGAACATTCCATCAGATTCTATTGCAGTTGCTCCACTTTTAGAAATTGCCTCCGTAATCTCATCCTGTGACTGTATAATTTCCTTATTGAACATTCAGATCACTCCAGACCAAATATAATAATATACACATTCTTTCTGGCAGTCATTAGTGATGTCCCGAACTGTTCGCCGAACAGTTTGCCGCAAACGGTTTGCCGCGGACTCATCATTGAGTAAACTTTGACCCTGTACCTCACAGTCAGCAGACACATTCCAGCCAATCAGCAGCAGACCCTCCCTCCCAGACCCTCCACCTCCTGGACAGCTCACTAAGAATGCAGCTTCACAATGAATGTAAAATGGATGCTGTCCAGGAGGTGGGAGGGTCTGGGAGGGAGGGTCTGCTGCTGATTGGCTGGAATGTGTCTGCTGACTGTGAGGTACAGGGTCAAAGTTTACTCAATGATGAGTCCGTGGCGAACCGTTCGGGACATCACTAGCAGTCATATAACTCAAAGCCATAACTGCTGATTCCCAGGCAGTGAAATGTGTGGGACACATTCTGTGTATTGACACTGATCCTGCAGCCACGTTCTGCAGACTAAAACAGCGTCAAACCATTAATGAATTCTTCATTTATTTTAATGTGACCTGTGCAATGCTTTGGCTCTGCAATTTCTGTCACCAAACATTTAGTTAACCCGATGATCCATCAATATTATTAGGGTTAGTTTGTGATTTAAAGGACATCATTATATCCATTGTGGTAGAATGTTGTGCTAATTTAACAGCTAGCTTGATTAAAGACCCGGGAGATCCTGTGAAAACCTTGCCTTCCCAGATCTTGTTCTGGATGAGCTGCAGTTCTGTCTTTTTAGGGCCTATCACAACTACCTTATAAGCTCCGGGAATTTTAACTCTGAAAGTCTCCCAGCTTTCCGCTTCGAGAAGACCAGCTCTTGGATGTAACAATATGCAACCTTGTCTCCAACCACTGTAAACCTTTGGGAAAGGAAGCAATTGGGTATCAGCGAAGCATCGTATCACATAGTCACACACATGAGAGAACTCCTGGCTTTTTCCTTGACTCTTAGCAAAAATGCTCAGTTTATAATACCCTGATAATGGAAGATGTAGGCTTACACTGATTTTGTGCTCCAGGTGTGTAACCAAACAATATCTGTCTAGCGAGGACAAATTAGTCTTCCCTTTGTTCTCTTCAAGTGTAGCAAGCAGCTCAGTGGCAGATGAGGTGTGAAAGCTTATAGTGCATGCCCCACTTGTTGTGTTAATAACGGGATGAAGGTGGCTCGGATCTTTGAGCCCATTCACTTTCGAATTAAGACCTGGTCCACAGTGGATGCTAAGATCAGATGGATAAAGTTCATTATGGTTTATTGGGTTGGTGCATTGAATAAGTAAATTAGCAGCATTTTTATAATGTTCTCTATTCACATCCTTCACAAACAATGAAAGTCTGTAGTACCCAAGGTATGGGAACAGTAGATGGCAGCTTAGTTGTGTTTCTTCGATGTGAGATACAAAACATTTCTTACTGAGCGGTCCAGTCAGTTTTTTGTGAACTAACTCGTACATTGCCAACAATGGCCTTAATGTCTTGAAAATTACGCTCAAACTGCTGCTTGCCACTATGAGGTCCTCTTCATAATTATATCCACTGACTCCAAAATCTTTAGCATTCTGGTGAAGGCCCCAAAAATGGAAAGGGTTTCCAATTAACAAGTCAGAACATTTAGCCTGTGTGCAATCAATTTGGTACGAACAAACCCACTTGTAGATGTCTTTGTTGTCCATAGGTCTTGCGAAAATCATGAGCTCAAACAAACCTTCCACTGGTGGAATAACTCTGAGGGTCATCGATAAATGATGCATAGTCAATATGCCATACATCTTTTCTACAAGGTGTCTTTCATTGTTGGAAAGGTTATAAATCTTATAGCTGAACTCCATTGGCTTCGAGCATCCCAGCGATACTTGCACCTGACCATGATCTGCAAACAAAAAGCGTAATGAGATACAAACATTTATGGTAGGTAATTTAGAAAGTATGATGAGTCAAAATCCTGTGGAATGCAAGAAAAAAATTAGAAATATAATGGGTTTTTAATATGTCCCTTAGCGTTCTTTTATTTATTATTTACTGAAACTGTGTATCAATAGTTTCCAAGAATACTAACAAAACGTAGTTTATATTCTTTTGAGTTGATCATCTCTAGTTTTGGGACTCATTGGAACACACCAAACAATGAGTACTAGTGGGTTAAGAACTATTTGAAAATGTAGATCAAAATAATAATAATAATAATAAAAAAGACATAGATATATGTCTCAGGCAATTTAGTGGTGTACGAGCGTGTGTGGGTGACTCTTTAGATCAGGGGTATGCAACCTTTGGCACTCGAGATTTTGTAGACTACATGTCCCCTGATACTTGGCCAGCATGTAAGAGCATACATCTGTAGTGCTGAAGGTTGCCTATTCTTGCTCTAGATCATAAATATCACAAATCACATGACTGTTTGCTGAAGGCACTAATTAAATTATCCAGTGCATTACTGAACATTAATGTGCGATTGTTAAAGTTGCATACAATTGGCAATATGAAGACTTCATTCTCCTTTCATGATGCAATTTTCAGTAGGGCTCCTTGACTCATTGATTCTTTAATTAGTTTATACAATTTATGTTCTGCCATTACATATATTACACAAGCTTCTCTTTTATATCAGTTGGTTGGAGTAGTAGCAAAGTCACTGCCTTAAACTGGTTAGTACCTAGACACTTAAAGATTGTAGCGGATCACGGGTAACCCGACCCTTTACCTCCACTAATTCCCTTCCTTCGGCCGGTCAGGAACCATGTAATGGACAAACAGACCGATTCCCCCCCTCCACCCCCCAGTAACTGGACGACACACAGTTCTGGAAGTACAACAACACTTTGTTGGCCACACACGGCTTGTAAGCAAAAGGGGTGTAACACACAGCATACAATGTTCCTTCCCAGGGTCCTCCCCCTCCCCGGGAACCTAATGCGGGAAAGGGCTCTGTCCCTTTGTCTCGAAAACCCCTCTACCCAAACACAGGGTTTCCCACATTTTACCTGTTTTGAGATAGAAGTCTTTTGGAGAGATGACAGAAAGGCAAAGTTTAAAGAACTCAGAGGTTTTGAAAACGTTTTGCTCAAATGCCTGGAAGGACACTGGAGATTTGAGCAGCTGCCAAATGGGGTCATCAGGCCAGTGCGTTTCAATGAAATTCTCCGGGTCGGTGAAGAAGAAAAAGTCATCATAACTGCAAGAGCAAGAAACATGGATTAAAGCAGAGTGTACTGTAGTTCCATCTACTGTACCTATTACAATCCTGCCCCGTATTATTAAATCGCATTCCATGCACGTAGATTATAGTGTAAATCCGATCACTGTACCTATTACAATCCTGCCCCGTATTATTAAATCGCATTCCATGCACGTAGATTATAGTGTAAATCCGATCACTGTACCTATTACAAAACATTCCTCATCAGATAATTCTAACACATCCAGTAAAAGAAACATGTATTCTGTTGCTGTATCTCCAAAAGAAAAATTCCAGGATAGTGGGGGACAAGAACAAAATCTAGGAGCAAAAAATGTCATAATAGCAGTTAACAGGCAACTGTATTTAACCGTATGCAACATTATACCCCCCATACGGCCACATTCTGCAGCTAAATTCAGAGTCTGTATTCACAAAACTAGACAAGGTAACGCTATGAAAACACACTTTACTATATCAAAATTAATAAAAGATGTAAATAAATAAAAAGTGCAACATGTTCCTTTGTCAGATAAACATACATATGATTACACACAACATTAAAACCCCATGTCTAATATTGTGTAGGTTCCCCTCATGCTGCAAAAGCAGATCTGATGTGTTAATGTTTGGACTCCACAAAGCCTCTAAATGTGTCTTGTGGAATCTGGCACCGAGATATTAACAGCAGATATTTTAAGTCTTGTAAGTTGTGATGAGGGGCCTCCATGGATTATTGTTTTTTTTTTCCCACACATCCCATAGATGCTCAATTGGATTGAGATCTGAGGAATTTGGAGGCCAAGGCAACACATTCGACTCTATGTCATGTTCCTCAAACCATTCGTGAACAATTATTGCAGTATAGCAGGTGCATTATCCTGCTGAAAGGGGCCACTGCCATCAGGGAACACCATTACCATGACGGTATGTACATAGTCTGCAACAATCTCTAGGTAGATGGAGACACAGTGACATCTATTAATCACGGCCAGCAATTGGAGCTACAGTAGCTCTTCTGTGGGATCAGAAAAGACAAGCTAGCTTTTGCTCCTTATGTGCTTTAATGAGCCTCGGGCGCCTATGAACCTGATGCAGGTTCCCCAGTTGCCCTTTCTTACATCACTTTTGGTCGGTACTGGCCACTGCATACCAGGAACACCCCAGGAGACGTTGTTTTGGAGATGCTCTGACCCAGTCGTCTAGCCATCACCATTTTGCTTTTATCAAAGTCACTCAGATCTTTTCACTAGCCCATTTTTCCTGCATTCAACGCATGAAATTCAAGAACTGACTGTTCACTTGCTGCCTAATATAACCCACCACCCCTAGATATGTGCCATTGTAAAAATATAATAAACATTATTCACTTAATTTGTCTGTGGTTATAATGTTGTATTGCCACAAACATACGTGTACAAACCACCACCAATTACAACAAGCAAAGTTAGATTTAGCTTATAACGATGGTGGATAATTAAGTAGATTAGTCGTAGCCCTCTCTGAAACGAATCCCCAAATGCCCTTAACATTTATTTATTTATTTATTTATAAAATATTTTACCAGGAAAGATACATTGAGATTTCTCTCGTTTTCAAGTATGTCCTGGGTCCACAAATCATTGCATTGTTACATATTTACAGTCATTGGAAAAAGAAAGTACATCCTCTTTGAATTCTATGGTTTTACATATCAGGATATAATAACAATCATCTGTGCCTTAGCAGGTCTTTAAAGTAAGGTAAATACAACCTCAGTTGAACAACACGTGACATATTACATCGTGTCCTGATTTATTTAACATTGAGAAGTCATCTGTAGAAAGCTAGGTATATCCTTACTGCATCCATAAAAATTAAGAGGCTAAGTACCAGACAGGTGCTGCTAATCAAATGTCCTTGATTAATTGATCATCATAATTAGCAAGTGTGACAACCTCTATAAAAGCTGAATAATTAGCAGT